AAATATAGAAATTGAATAAAATAATAAAATTAATAAAATGCTTGCTTTTTTGATTGCATTCGGCATGTGAATATTATAATTCTGACCAATCATTTTATTACAATTGTATTTGGTATGTGATTTTTACCAACATTTCTAGCTAAATCAAACTGACCAATCATTTTACATTAGGTATATCACATGACTATAACCACTTGATATAAAGACCGACCCCACCCCCCTTTTAAATCAGCTGATTTCTGACATGCCCCTTAATAATATTATCTATTTAAGTACTTTGCTAATGCCTCTGGCCCAGTTATATCCTCAAGATAGAAATACTATAAATTACTAATGCCATCTAGCGTCTCAATTTTTGATATGTGAGGTAAAGCTGTAGGTTAGCAATTATCTCATTTTTTCGCATGGATGAAACTGGGCTGATTTCTTCTGGAATTGATACATACTCTTTGTAACGCATATGATAGACTAATTTGTGAAAGAATAAATTATACTCTTCAATACATTTTACAAGCTCACTAGGATATTGAGCAAAATCAGAGCATATTTTTTCCTTCATGTTGTCATCTACTGAGAGTTTTTTATCTTTTGTAATTTTTATAGCGCATTTCATGAATCTTCCCTATAATATCTCGATAGGATTACTTTTCATGAAAATCTCATAGTTAAGCTATTTACCATGGATTATTTCGTATAAACTGCTTATCTTTTGATATAACATTTCTTGCGTTTTTTTAACCGCATTTCTGTAAGCACGCTTATAAACAATCCTACAGGATCCCATCATCTTAGAAGTAATACCATTAACTATGATATTCTTTTTCATGAAACCCTCAAGCCATGATTTGACCTTCTTTTGTACATAATCATCTATTTGTTTATATTTCTTATCTGGATCCTTGATTTGCATTATCTTATTTGAGAGAGCTAGCTCGTACTTCTTATCATACATAATAAATCAGACACAGAGGCCAATAATAGTTTTTTCAAAATAATGATATAAATCTAGCTCCTTATCTAATTTCTTCGCCACATCAACGAATTCTATTCTTTTGCCTTTCGTTAGCGTTAATTTTCTACAATGTAAATTAAAGGTCATGTCAGGATGGATTACTATATAACTAAAGCGCTCACCTGACGTCAGAATTTTACTCTCATATTCTTTCCTCATTCGTTCTATAAATTGCTGAATAGCTTTATTGTCTTTATCAGGATTCCATGCGTCGGTCTCTATAAACTGTTCAAAATTCCATTGCTTAATATTAACTAAAGCATCTCTGAGAACATCTTTAGCAATATCATGGAGTGATGGGTCATTGTTAATATCCATGGTTCCCCACATAATCTGATTCCCTATGGTTTTGAAAACTTGGAATTTACCCTGTTTTATAGTGTCGATTCCTCTTATAAAAAACTCTTCAGGTTTGAAGTTTGGGATATCTTCATGGGGGATGCCAAAATACTATTTCTTCCCAGTAAATACTACTGGAAATAGTACTTTTTTATAAGCTATTTTGAGATAATCTGATCTGATTTTTAACCTAAGAAAGTTGTTTACTTTATTGCGTAATTTTTCCATTATTCCCATAGTTATTTTGACCATTTTGGTCCAGTACTCTTGTTTTGAGATTACACCTTTTTCAATATCGTAAGATAGATCACATTTCTCATAATAGGAATCTGGGTAAGTGAAATATAGGGAATTGGTATCACCATATTTTATCCCAAAACCTTTCTTTTTTACGAACTCTGCAACGAGTTTGATATTTTCTCATCTAGCCGAAGTAACGCCTCCAGCGAGTTCAAGTATATAAACTGGAAGTCACTTTGGCCAGTTACACCATAGAATGAATTCATATACAATTTAATGGCTTTTTGCTTCGAATTTAGAAAATTATAATTGAAGCAGATGGAATCATATTCTTTTTTAAAATCATCATATGATGAACTAATAAAAGGATTTAGGATGTTAGTTATTTTAGTATGCTTCTTAGGTTCGCTTTGCGAACAAACATCTTCAATTACACTTGCTATTAAGATAGATCCGCTGGCATTCATTCTACTTTTAACTAATCCCATACATTCCTTTTCTTTCCAAGAGGTTTTAGCTGGACCTTTAGTTCATTCCATATATTGAGCAAATTTTCAATATTTTTGGAAATAAACCTTTCTGATCGAATTTATTCCTATGCCGTATGATTTAGGCTCGATCAGATTTACTGCAATACTTGAACTCGATACTGTGAATCACTTTATTCTCTCTCTTTAGTTTATCTGCTTTCAAAAGTGTTGAGACTATCTTCTCAGGTAAGAGATTGTAGGTCATGATTATACTAGGGTATAAGGAAGCAAAGTCTAAACCTGTGTCAGGATGTTTATTTTCAAGAACTTTCTCTGGCGGAAACACATACGCCCCTGAAAACTTCCCAGATATTTTTTGATTGAAAATTTTCGTGATATATAGAATTCCCTGCGTCCAAGCTTCAGCGCCTAAGAGATTAGATACTTTTGTTCCTATAGCATAATAATGTGAGTCGAATAATGATATATAAGCGATTGAGGCTATCTCTCTGTAATCATTTATAACATTAGATTTGACCATGAGCTCCTGACAACGTAAAGCATCTATAACACAATAATTTATGATTTCGTGTATATGTTTTTTGAAAGAGTCAGAAGTCTTATCCCTTGCTTTTGAATAATACTTACATAATTTGCTCATAGGTATATCAGCTTTGCCATTGAGACATCACTTTTCTAAGAAGAATTTGAGTGATGTTTTCTCAGAGTGGGGGTGAAGTTGCATAAAACTTGCGTGAACATCAATTGGTACACATCCAGGGAGTTTAAGAAGTAAGATTCAATACTTAAACTAGGATGGATTTTGATCTTAATGGATTCTCGACATCCTGTTTTTTTACAATTCTTATCTAGTAAACTCCTATCTGTCTTTTTTACCCATTATGAATTTCTCTGGAAGAAATTATTGCTAGATGGTTCTCCTTTCTCCCAAAAATAATTTCAAATAAAAATAAAATTAGCATTGGCTTTCTTACGTAGTTTTGCTGATATTCGCTGAACTATCCATTCAAAAATCTTTAATTTGGTGGCCTTTTTCATAATAAAAGGCCAATCATATTGTTATAGGCAGTTCTTTAGGGTCGCTTTAAAGGTTAAAAGCGTGGTAAGGTAAGCAGAAGGTATAAGTTTAT